TTTTAGCTTAATTTAAGTTATTTTGATGTGTTTGGTTTAGCTTAACAATACAACTTATAGTTTTTTGTAAGTAAAAAATCAACTTATTTTTTTGAGTGGGGGAGGAGAAGCTTAATTTATAAGTCAAAAATCAACTTATGTTCACAGCTATAAGTTATAAGCGGTTAGGTTATAAGTTATAATCACTTTTCCACAGTTCTACCAAACAGGGCCACTCGTTTGGCAAGTAGTTTTTTAACTAAAAAGTTAAAAAGTTATTAAAAAAATTAAAAAGTCAATAACCCATATTAAAAAGTCAAAGATTTAATAATCTCTCTACTTTTTGCACATCTTTTTGTAAAAAGTTAAAAAATCATTCTAAATATATTAATTTTTTTACAACACATTTTAGTTAAAAAATTAAAAAATTACTAAAAAAAACTTGTTCTCAAACGAGGCCAACTTTCCATCTGGTGCTAACTTAACGTGGAACAAACTCTTTGTTTCAAAATTTTCAAAGGTTTTTTTTTTTTTAGGTAGTAAAACGAGGAACGTTTTGAAAATTAAAAAAAAAATTATTAAAAAACTTAGACATTAATTATTTTGGAAAGTCCGCAACATGAAATGTGATCTGTAATAATGTGACCTTGCCTTAACTGACAGAAATGTTATAGTAATTTTATTTATTTATTATTTATTATTTAAAAAAAAAACTAGCCTAGAGGTGGTTAAAAAGTAAACAAGATTTCGGGTGGGACTGTTGTGTTGTTTGAGCCTTGCAAAACTGACCTAGTCTTTCTGATTGTAAATTTTATTTTTTATTTTTTTCCTCAAAAAAAAAAAAGTTTTATTTTTTTAAAATTGATTTTAGGTTTTCATTTACGTTGATTTCCATGGAAAGATTTGTTTCTGAGCTAGTCTTTGTGTAACTCTCTGGTTGTGTTTTTGTTATCATTGTAATAAAAATAGTATATATATATATATAAAATCTAATGAAACAATTATCATAATGGAAAAAGAGTTTGACCTTAACTAAAGTGGCTGTACCTTCCCATTTCTACGAACGAAGTTTAGGATTAGAGTTTATGAAAAAATATCAAACGGCCATTAATAATAATAATAATAATAATAATTTAACATTCTAAACAACTAACATCTCATCTCTTCCCTCTACGTCTAAGGTTCAATGCCCTCTAGATCTAAGATTCGATTCCTCCAACTAACATAAAATCCTTTTAAGTCACGGATTGTTGGGAAACTTATTTTGGAAGGTTTGTTCAGATTGTAGGGAGTTAATCTGGTATGCAAAAATTGGCCTAGAAAACTACTCAAAAAAAATAATAATAATAATAATCTCATTTCCCCCCCCCAAAAAAAAAAAAAAAAAAAAAAAAAAAAAAAAAAAAAACTCTCATATTAATATGGCAAAAGCAAACTATTCAAGGAACAATTTTGTGTTCTGATTTCCAAATTCTTGTGACTTCGAAGATACAAGAGTTACATTAACATATATCCAACTAAAGCCTTAACCTGTGTTGCCCAACAATAAATTAGAAAAATTTATCAGATATTTCTGGAGTAATATGTCATACTATTAACACATTTTGTTTCTAAAATATCATCGTAAAAATAATGAACTCTGTTATATAGGCCAAGATGGGCATGTAGATTTACTCAAAAAAACTGAATAAGTTGTGATAATCTAGGAAGAAAACTCATTGAGGTAAGTTTTTGACAATAAGTTATTTTAGTCAAAAAGTTAAATGGTTACTATTAAAAAATTATTTTTTGAAAAATCTTTTTTATACATTTTTTCATAAAAAACTAAAAAAATAATTAATATAAATAGTTCCCAAAATAATTTGAGTGCCTTAAAAAATAGTGAATAAGTCATTAACATGGACTAGTTAATCTCAAAGGATCTTTTCTCTTCCATGAGCTAAAACCAATTTTGTTTTGTTCTGTTTTGCTTCTTCTTCTTCTTCTTGTTTTATATTTTATTTTTTTAATTTTGTTTTATTTAAGTTGAATTTTTCCAACACTAGATAATCCCTAGGTATTGATTGACTTCGTCAATATTCACCTGGCTAGATTTTTTTTTTTAAAAAAAATCCCAATTCTAAATCGTCACATAATGCTAAAGTGGACCTTCCATGTTACTAATTAATTTAATATTGAACATTCCAACTACTAGACAACTCAAAGATATAACTATTTAAAAATTAAAATTGGGTTGTATCTCTCGCTGTGGATCCACATTGGTTTAATTTGATCGTATATTTTTTGTAAGACCTGTTAAATAGATTAATTCTGTTAAAAATTAGATTGATCAGATATCAATAGTTATTTGATTGAATTATATTTGTCCAAAAAAATAGATCGACTACTTTTAATAGCATACTGTCCGTTAATTATTTTCCAAACAAATGTATTACGATCAAGAGGCTTTCAGTATCTGATTAACATGATTTTTGACGTGAATGGTCATTTCAGTAAACTCTATTGTTAGGTTTTTGTAATTGACAATTTCGTTGAATAAAACTCCATTTAAGTGTATTCTTATTCACTCTATTGTATCTGTGAATTATGAGAGTTTAGATACAAATCCAACTTGAGTTGTGACGTGTAGAAAAGTTTGTGCTGACATTTCATATATTGACTTGATTATTCTTTATTTGTCACTTTGCTAACTAAGTACGAAGCCAAGAAGAAGTCAAAATTGTTTAACCGCTCGAGCGGTCATTTATGCGCTTGAGCGGTGAAGTGGTTCATCTAGTATCTCTGTTTATGTTTTGAACTTCTGGGAAGCAAATTTTACCGCTCAAGCGGTAGATGTTGCGCTTCAGCGGTTGGCCTATATGTGAGCACTACCTTTCTCACATCGCTCAAGTAGTAAACTGTGTGTTTAAGTGCTCTTCATGACTCTGCTTAGTATAAAGTGTGTCGTTTGTTATTTTTAAAGTTTAACCTATCTAGATTCTCAGAGAAGAGTAAAATACAAAGCATTCTACATTGAAGAGTGTTTATATATGAGTTTTCTTGATGTATAAAAGGTGATCAATTGATTAACGAATTACATATTGACAAATATCAAATGTTGTTTTTATTCTTTCATTCACAAAAAAAAATAGGTGCTCATCGGTGGATTTCAAGAAACTTGAGTTTGAAGTTTTAGTAGATTTCGGAGTGACTCATTGTAATAACCCTCGTCACTGTTTATCGAATAATCACTGATTATCGTTAAACTGAAACTGATTATGACTGATAAGTGAACTGAATAAACTACTGAACTGACTGACTGAAATTGAAACTGAATTGACTGAGTATACCTGTTTAATTGTAATTCTATCTGTTTGGTTATTTGATTATCTGTTTGTGTCTTGTGTTTAAACTGCTAATTGAGGGCCTTATCGGCGGCCGAACCGGAAACCGATTAGTGTTTTATGATCATCGTGATTTATGTGATTTTATGGTGTAATTACCTGAAAATTGATTAGGTATGATTAAATTGGATTAAAACGAGTTAAATTACATTGTTACACTATTTTACCATTTTGCCACACTTAGTGGCCCACTACATGAGCCATGTTTGAGACTTACTATATGCTTAGGCAACTCTTCATCAGCTCATTTTCATTGTTATGCCGACCAAGAGAGTTAGAGGGAGAGAAATTGAGTTCTAGATTGTGTTTTGCTTGGAAATTGAAGAAATTGTAGAAGAGATTACATATTTGAGCTCTCTTCTTGGACTACAAGACCTAAGGTAGATCATTGACCTTCTTTATTGTGTATTTGAACTTATTCTTGCATATTTTTTTGGTCTTTAGTGATTTAAGGCATGAATTGGTTCAATAGTGTTGAATTGAAGCTTAATCTTGGCATGCATGGCATACTCTTGCATTTTTGAGGTTGTTCTTCATGGATTTTTGCATGCATGTCCATGTTAATGCTCAGGACCATGTTTTCATCTTGTTTTTGGAACAATTGGCTCCTTAGAGCATCAAATTGAAGCTTTGAAATGGTTTTAATCACTACAAGAAATTGCATTTTTCGCGACTACTTTTAGCGACGATGTCAATTTTCATAGCCAAAAGTATATTTTTGGCGACACAGTGACAAATTTCGTTGGTAAAGGTAGACTTTTACCGACGCAATTTACTACCGTCGCTAAAAAAGTATAACATTCATTAAGCGCCAAAATTATTGGTTGCCGCCAAAATTTCAAAATTTTTAGCTACGAGACTTATTTTTTAGCAACACAATAAGCGTTGCTATTAGTGTGCTTACTTTTGGCGATGACAAGTTGGTGTGGGCAAAGACTTAAACATTTAGCGATGATAACACTATTCGTTGGTAAAAGTTTTGCTAGTGAAATGAGGTGATTTAGTAATTTGTGTTTTTATTCTAGTTTTTCAAAGAGTTTTAATATTCTAGTTATTGAATTGTAAAATTAAAGTGATTATCGAATTAGATCACAAAATAAACCCATCAAGTCCAAACACACTCTTAACTTTTAAGTTGAGATGGCTAATTCGAGATAATCTAAACTTTTCCAAAGAATTAGATTATCAATTTTAATATGTTTGGTTTTATTTTTAAAAACTTGTTTCAGAAATTTTTTTTTTCTAAAAAACTAAAAAAAATTGGTGCAAAAATAAAAAATTTTGTAATTTTCTCAATTTTTTTTTTCTGAATTTTCTCTGTAATTTCTAAATCAACGCAAAACATACCTTGGGCAATGAGTTTATAATACCAGTCAAATTCATCCAGAGAAAATTCCCAATACCAAAGAAAATTGCTTTTCTTTGTTACTAGAATTTTCTTTGTGAAGTTTTGGTAACTTCAAACCAAAGAAATTTCTTTACAAATATAATTTTCTCTATATACATTGTGTTGATAATCATCACTTAGCATGCATTATCAACAAGACATAAAGAGAATTGATAATCATCAGAAAAACTATATATATATGTTTATATATTTAAGTTTACAAAACAAAAACAGAAACATGCATCTAGGTGTTATTCAAATGATAGGCAAATTAAAAACTCCAGATCCAGAAAATGTGCATTCATAACTACAAAATTGACAGAGTCACTCCCAACCATAATTCATTCACACAACCAAAAGCATGATAAAAGAAACAGAACAAACCATATCCTAAACACCCAGAGACATTACCAAAGAGTTGAATAGCTTCCCTAACTAAAAGCGATAGGATTCCCTAGCAATGTTGAGTAATATTTGCATCTTAAATTTAGTGCTTTCCTATGACTAGGACCTAATTATGTTTACAAGGGATAATTGACTCTTTTACCACTAACATATTTTTGTTTGTGTTCTTTTGCTTTCCCCGTCCTTTATAAGAAACAAATTCAGTAAAAGGCAGAGAAACAACCCAAGTGTACTTGAAGTGTACTAGGGGGATGGGGATAAACGAAAGGCATGCCCATGCTTGAATGAAAGTTGTGTACTTGTTGCATTAGTCGCAGGTAGGTCCAGCCTATGCTTGAATGAAAGTTTAAGTTATGTTATGCAAGATGGTACTGATAAAAGTGCTGAAAATTTAATTGTTCAAAACATGGCGTCTATAACAGTGAGCTCTTAAACCTCAACCTTATTAGTTTGTTTTCTTCTTGGCTTCCCAGGATTCCACCTAAGCTGAAACCTGTAGAGATTGCACATTATACATGTCCATATCTTTAGGATTAGGTTGTTTTGGAAGCTCTATGGAGTGGCCTAAGGTAATATTGCAAAGCCTTTAAATTTGGACACCAAATCAAATGCTCCCTTTATAAAATAGTATCAATAAAAACATAAATTGCTTACCTTAAATTCTGCACTTGTCTTTTCCTTCAAGAAATTCCTTCGCTCATGCGTTGATTTGATGTTGTCAGGTTGCAGTTTAAGCCTTTTTTCTTCATTAGGTGCCTTTCTTCTTCATTAGCCTCACGTGACAAATCATATAGAAATGCCCAAGCGATAAAAACCTATAAATGCCATCATCTCCCAAAAAGCTTCAAAGAAAAAGAGAGAAAAACATAATACTCTGCATTCATGATATTTTGAATTCCTCATTTCAAAGCACCAATGCTCAAACAAGTTACAATTGTGAACTAATGTTTCAAAGAGATTTTTTTTCCTCCCCAAATTGTTCTAGTGTTGATATATTCTACAAGCATTAAATATCATCCTATATCATATATACTTGTTCAACCAATAAAATAATCACATTATTAATTGATCCGTAAAAAATTCATCTAGGATACATCCAACGTAATGAATTTTTTTTTTTCTTTTTTCATTTCAATATAATGTTATTACCATTATCAGCAGTAAAAAGTTCTACGATCCAGATTGCCACATATCAAAAGTGAATGATTCACATTTTAATTTTCAGACTAAAAAAATATAATTTTATTTGAAAGGAAGCTAACCCAGCTTCACAAAGTTTTAATTTCCTCAAATGATCAAATTTTAATGAGAATTAAGTTATTGTACTACTGTTCATACAAAGAAAGAATTTGTGACAATGTTTAAGTAAATAATTTGATTATTGTTATGTGACTATAAATAACCAGATGTGCTTCTATTTTTTTAATATTTATTTTGGTTGGCATGATTACTCCTTGCAATTCACATTGTCAAATTTTTGCAATCATGGGTGCAATTACTGACAATAGTGTAGGATTCAAAGTTTTAGATCAATAAAATTTTGTGTTTTGTTCACATAATCACAAAGTATGTGAACAAATTTATTTTCTTGTGAGTGGACATGGATTGTTTGAAAAAAAAAAAATTGAATATTGCTGAAATTTATCTAAATGTATATGCTTTCACTGTATATATATATATATTTTTTGGTTACTAAAAGGAGAAATCGAGATCTGGATGGTCAAACATGTACATTCTTACTAACATTTTTTTAAAACTATTATGCAATTTGAAATGTAAAATTATTAGGTAGTTTGAAATCATATGATATTATTTTAGTGGATGTTCGTGATTTAGTAGTGACATATATGGTCATTAAAGATATGATAATTTGTCGTTTCGCACGTAGGCATTCATTTTATTTTTCTTTGTTTCGTTTTATAGGTTATTTTGTTGAACATTTAGATACTTTTTGGAATTATTATGTTTGGGATTGTTAGATATAGTTAGACACGTTTTAGAATTCTTATGTTTAATATTGTTAGATATTTAAATAAAATTTGGGATATTGAAATGCATTTGATATTAATTTGGTTACATTACTAATTGTTATGATGTTGTGTTTGATATTGTTTTTATTTTGATTTGCTCTCCCATGTGAGCTGTACATGGGCTTCTTTTGTGATGGCTTGGATGATTATTGTTTTTGTTTGTAACAACATTGGTTGAGTTTCCATTTCCCAGGTGGTTTATATGCTCTGTTTGAACCTATTTTAGACATCCATATTATTGTATGTGGTTCTTGAACAGGTTAGTGTGTTTCTGGTGCTGGTTTGCTGGTTTGCTATTTTTGTTTCAATTTTTGAAGGCAAATGATTTCTGCACTTACATTATTGGTTTGTAGTGACTAGGGAAGATGCATCAAGCTGGAGTAGGGAAGGTTTTTTTCCTATTTACATCACGCTATATGGGAACTTGTGGCTTTTAGCTTGAAGTATGACCCCTGGTTTTCATGTAATGCGCACCTCAATCATTCATTTTTCCATTTTGAACTCTGAGAATTTGTTTTCTTGTTTCAGAATTCGGGAAAGGAAGCAATCTGTAACTGTGCTGTTGTGTGGGACCAGTGGTCGTGGCAAATCTACATTGTCAGCACTGCTGGTATATCTATTTTGTTGCTGAAAGCATTAGTATTCTTTTTACATTTTGGACATGGAGAATTAATGGCATTTCTTCAACCTCCCCCCATTTTAAAATCTTTCTTCTTCTTCTTCTTTCCCTATTCTTCTCCAAAAATATATGAAAGTTTCTGGTCAGGATATTAACTTTACATTTATTCCCTCTTTAGTGGCAACAATTGTGATTTTGTATATGACGCATGAATGGTTTTCAGTAGATGATCATTGATGCTGATTGTAACACCTGCTCGTTGATCTTGGGAAAAAAAAAAAAACTTTCTTATTGTTGTGTTTTTTTTTTTTCTACTAAACTTTTTGGATTCGCCATTTCAAGTGGAAAAAATCTCCATATTAGATAGTAAAAAACTGCTATCTAGGACATTGCTGGAAGCAAATGTGGCAAATTAATTTGGAACTTTATAGTAGCTTCTGTGCCTTCTTCCATCCCGTGCCTGAATGACTTTGGAGAACAAGGACTTATCTAGAATTCATTAATACTAGCTTATGATCTGAGATGGGGGACGTAAGAAAATAGATAGCTTTACATTATGGATTTGGGAGTAGGATATTGGGCTTGTATGGGACAGATTTCAAATGACTCCATTTTCATTGATATTTCATATTCACCAATAGTGGGCCCTCGCATTCTTCATTTGTCTACCTGGGATTCAAATCCAAGCTAGAATCCTGTAAGAAATCATGTGCAAGTCTTCCCTTCCAAATCATCAATTTAAATGCCACTTTAGTTTGCATCTGAGGTTAACTGCACCAGCCTTCAGAATTCTGAACAAAAATTGAGACTAATCATTGTACATTTAAAATATACTATCCTAATTTTTTTTACTTATAGTCATGTCTTCATCTATTTTGCAACATAGCAGGTTGGGTATCATGACTGTGATATCTACTGACTCAATTCTTCATATGTTGAGGAGCTTTGTAGATGAAAAGAAAAATCCCTTGGTTTGGGCTTCAACATACCATGCTGGGGAATATTTGGATGCAAAAACTATTGCAGCAGCAAAGGCCAAAAGAACAGCTAAAAAATTAGCTGGTGTTTCTCGGCCCCTACCAAAAGATGATGCCTGATGGTTCTACAGTTGGAAAGTCTAATACCCAACCACCAGAAGTGGGTTCTAATGCTGCTGAATTTATCAGGCCGAGACAAATGGCCATTGAGGGATTTAAAGCACAAAGTGAAATGGTCATTGACAGCCTTGACTGCTGATCACTGCATGGGAAGAACAGAATTTTTGCATGGCTATACAGGACAGTCCAGTAGTTCCAATTGGGAGGAGCCCTAGGACAGATGTCCTTTTAAAGGCGGAAAAAGCAGTGTTGGAGTCTGGCAGTAGTGTTGTAAGATTAGCAGGACTTTACATATCCTTTATGAAAATGCAAGTTATAAGATTTACATATATCTATTGGTGAAACTTTAGGGATTTATGGTCCGAATCAGTTTGTTATATACATGCATACCCACATATGTGAGCACACACATCCCACCTTAACTCTCAATACAAAGCAGATAAAGGTGCACATGTTTATTGGTTGGGGAAAGGCACTGTTGACACTCGTCCATATCACATCCTCAATCTTATACACTACAAGGTGAGTGTTTATCTTTGTGTATTTTTTATTGTCTTCTATGAATTACTGTCCTTGCGATTCTATCTGAGTTGCCTTCCCCCTATTTCTCATTAAATTATAAATATAATTACGCAATACCTTTTCTTGCTCCATGAGAATATTGGGGGAGAGAAAAAGAAAAAAAAAACTTTGATGGGTTTATTCTATTCACTCTTTTACTTGGGCAGTCACTTTGATATTCTTCTCTCTCTCTCTCTCTCTCTCTCTCTTTGTGGGTCAATTTTTTATGCTTTTTAATTATATTTAGATACAAATTGGAATCTGAGCTCATACCATGCTTTATAGGTCATATCTTATTTCATCATCTTCAGTCTTCCATACATTCCCTGAATTCCTAAAGTAAATTTGTGTAACCATTTGTGTTTGTGATATCGATAACATTTAATTTGGTGTGCCTTGCATATTTCCACAAAAGGATGCAGCTTCCCTATCAATAGCAATCTTGAAGATTAAACTTTGGGGCCGAATTTTTCTAGGCTGTGATAATCATCCTTTATACATTTATTATTGTTATTATTATTATTTTTTAATTTATTTTTTCCCCCTTGTTTGAATGTTGGATTTTAATGACTCCTCTCTACCAAAGTTTTCTATGCAAACGAGTACAACTACCTGCAGCTGCAATTGACATTATTTTTCACAAGACTGATGATGAAGTTTTCTTACCTTGTAATTTCTCTGCTTCATATGTACTGCAGACATGAGGAGAGATGTGCAGGAGATATTCAAGATGACTCCTCATGACAAACAAGTTATGATGTTTTCTGCAACACTCAGCAAGGAAATCCGTCCTGTTTGCAAGAAATTTATGCAAGATGTAATGTCCCATGACCAGTTCTACTTGAATTTAGAAGAATCCTTTTCCATAAATGTCAGCTTTCTGCTGGCGATAAATAGTTAGGAATGCAGTGGTTGTAGGCTTGTAGCCTTCTATGCTTTCAGTTTTGCATTTTGTTTATGCCCATTATTCAATATTCTACCTAAGTATGTAATGTGATAGGGGATGGGTAGTGGCAGAAGAAAGATCGGTCTTTAGGTCTGATGTGTGGGGATAGTTTCTTCATTCTTCGGTACCTTATTTTTTCTTTTGTTCACATCCCTAGTTATTTTCTTGTTTACTTTAGGCCTTGAGTGTGGGTTTTTAATGGGGTTGATGCTGGATGTCTTACCTGTGGCTCCTTTTGGTTACATAATAGTATATATGTTGAGCAACAGTGGACTTGCTTCTTGTGAGTTAGAATATCTGCAAGGAGACATCAAATGGACCGGAATCTCAATTGAAGGGATGTTCATCCATCATTCATTTCGTGCTGGATTCCATTACCTTCAGGAAGGCTCCTAATATGCTTTACTGTGACATTTCTTCCTTTCAGCCAATGGAAATTTATGTTGATGACGAGGCGAAATTGACCCTTCATGGTCTTGTACAGGTATTGCTTTGGAAGTTTGGTTTTTGGTCTTTACCTTATTTTTAACCATTATCTTACCTCTCAATTTTTTCCTCGTGTCAGCACTACATCAAATTGAGTGAGCTAGAGAAAAACCGCAAGCTGAAAAGTTTGTAAGAAAAGTTTGTAATTTTTTTTTGTTCGTATAGCATTTTCCATTTTGTTTACTTAGTTTTTACATGAAATTTCTAACAAGTTTCCAATAAGCTTTGTTTGACAATTGTTGGGTCTCATTTATGCAAACAAAAGACAGTTACTGATCCTACATTCTATTTGTGAAATTAGAATAGTTTGATTGAGAAAACAGAGATAATTAAGTTATCCTTTCCTGAAAAGAGAAAGCTTTTATCTGTAATCATGTCCAAAAAAAAAAAAAAAAAAAAGAAAAAAAGAAGAAGGAGAAGGACAGAGAGCAAGACTTCTTTGTTTGACGATTTGGTTCACCCTGAACTCAGATAATTCTTGTGATCATAATTGCAGTAACAGAATTCATGAAGTGTTCTACTTCATGACATGGACAATGTGATTACTATTGACAATGTGATAGAATTTTGTTAGTTATTTATTTATTTATTTAATAGGCCCTATTTGGTATTGTTTTCATCATTTAAAAAATTCAATAAATAGATTTAAAGTGTTTCATAAAAATAGGTGCTTACCATTTTTTTTTTCCAAATGTTTGGACAATCAATTTATTATTATTATTATTATTATAGCAAAGTTATTTTTGCGTTGTTAGTTGTTTGTATAATTGTTCAAATCAATTTGTTGGAAATTGTTAAATTCACAGTTCTTTTTTATGAATTCACAGCCTTGTCTCTGACACAATCCTCTCTCTCATATAACAAGCTCCACCATGTGAGAAAGGGGTGCTATGGATCCGATCTGCCAAAAAAGAGTGAATTTATCAATCTCCCAATTTATTGTATCTTGGCGTTTAGATAGTTGTTTGAAAATACTTAGCTATTTTTTTCCTTTTCGTTCCACCTTTCCTTTCTCATTTAGTGTTTTACTGGCAGGCATTCTGATATCAACTTGGTTGAGTTGGCAAATGAAACAGTTAAAGAAGATGACAGAGCTGTTTTATTGGAGTGGGGAGGTCTCCAGTCAGCTTCTCCTAAAGCTCGAAGTTCACCTGTCACATCTCACGTTGTCAGGTTAGAAAAAATAGCTGTTTCCATCTTTGATTATTTATGACAAATATGAACGGGTTAATTTAACATTCTTTATGCCCTTTAACTTTTCAGATTTCTTCTAATGGATGAGACTTTCTTGCTAGAAAATCGATTGACACTCAGAGCCATGTAAGTCTCTCATCGTCACAATTTAAAACCATAAGTTTTGGAGCTTTGTAAGTTTGAAGGACATGGTTAGAAAGCTGACTCTCATTTTTCTTCTTATTGTTCTCTCTCCCTACAGATCTGAATTTGGTGTCCTTTTGATCTACTTTTACTTATGTGACCATACAATTCTCTTCGGTGAATCAAAAAAGGTTTTGCCAATGCCCTTATCTTATAATTTATACTTTTCATTCCGCGAGTTCGTTACTTTCTTTGGTGAAGTATGTGTTAGACCAATTTTAAATCTTAAAAAGAAAAGTTCAATGTGAAAAATATAGAAAGAGGAATGGGTGGATATCACATTCTTTAACAACTTTGAAATGTTATTTTAAAATATATATATATGTATATCCCAGAACTTTACGAGGAAGTGAAAGGATTAGCGAGGTCATAACCTGATCCACTTATATGGGCATAACCTAATGAACCAACACTAATAGAAAGGAGAGATAACAAAAGCAAAATTATTAGTCGACGGACTAGCTGCTACTAGATGCTTCAGTCTCTCTTCTGCTTCCTTGGATGTGTAACCAAACAATTATGGAGGACTTCATCTCTCCACATAAAATTCACAATGGCCAGGATATACAGTTCTTGTTTTCTGTATCTATTTCAGTTATAATTGGTCCATCTGCATCAAAGTTGTGTCCAATGAGCTTGTTTATTTCCTTTGTGTTTGTTTCTAGTGTCTCTTGTGATTTGTTTGGAAGTTTGAACTCTAATCAATATAATTCCCTCCCACTCCTTTCAGTGTTTCTCTACCTGGAAACACTTGCTCTATAGAGAAAGAGAGAGAGAGAGAGAGAGAGAGAGAGAGAGAGAGAGAGAGGGACTCAACAAGTTGCTGAAAGTTTATTTATTACCTTGCTCTATAATTGGAACTAGGAGCAGTTTGTGAAGGGCTTGGGAATGTTGCCTTCAAGTTTAATTGAGGTGGGATGCTGATCAAATCTTTTGGTTATAGGACCTCCAAACTACACCCTGTCTAAAGTCATTAATCCTGTGAATAAATTAAAGCCCTTTTTAGCCATAAGAATTTTGTTTTCACTTCCTAATCAGATGAAACATCTAGAATAACTTCTCCACGCTTAAATTCAGCATTAACTTGCCATTCCTTGATGTCCATTTTGTTGTCAATAAGAATCTTCTGGCACCCAAGTTCGTTGGCCGGGTTGAATTGGCTCTGTTTTCTTATTGGACAAATATAAACTTGACTTGGACTTGCATCTCTTGGAACTTTTCAAAGAGAAAAACACATTTTGCATCTACTCATTTTGTTAATCATCCAAAATTTTAAGAAGAGGCATATTTGAAATATTCATCGGGGCATTGCTTCATGTAATTTGCATCAACAGCGTGTAGTGCATTGATGAGTTGGGCACTGTTTACATCTGCCTGCTTTTATATAATATAATATTAAGACATTTGATTTTCTTATGGTTAGTTATTTTCTTTTCTGCTTTGTTCAGTCAAGTGATCTATCAAATGTAAAGAGGGTGTTAACAAGGGCACAAGAGAATCCAAGCCAACATTTCTCGTTTGAAATGACGTATGTGTCTTCTTGCTGTTTTTGCTCTTCCCAAGTTGAATTCAGCTTGAAATCTTGAGTTTGTAATGAATTTTTGATTTTTGTTTCTGTTTTTTTCTTCTTTGCAATTTTCCTAATTGTTCATTATTTGTCTGACATGTGTGAAAAAAGTACTTACATGTACATGCACACACACCTGTCCATATAGGGAAGAGCTGAGACACACCAGTGGTTTATGTTAAATTAAGAACGAAAGCTCAATTGCGACCATAATTATACTTCTGTTCCCTTTTTGCTTATGGCAGGTGGGAAAAGTGTTGCTAAATGCATTGTTATATCCAGGCATCAAGACGAACATGTAGAAAAATTCCATTGTTGCGATATTTCATACAGCGGTAATATTTCTTAATTAAATCATTCAAAATACACTTTTGTGGGGGAAATAAATAAGAAACGGGGATGTTTTGTTATCTGTCATTTCTACTGCAATATATTCTGTTGTATCATACAAGGCTCCAGGCATGGTAAATCTTGTCATTGAATTCATAAGTGAGGCTAACAAATCGAGGTTCCTATTTCTGCTGCATGATAATGGGATATTTATCCAATAAACAAATGGGATAACTATTCTATTATATAAAGTGCACCTGAGTTAGGTCGGAAGCTGTCACTTTTTTTTTTTAAAATTTTTTTTCCAAGAATGTCTTTATACCTAGTAACTGTCAGTCTTTCCCACTCAGTAGCCGTCACATCTAATAACAGTAAGAATAATTGTTTCTTTTGTCAAACCGTCCAAAATTGCTATTAGTTTTCCTCAACCATCATACTATCCAAAAATTTAAATATAAAATTGCAAATGCGTTTGCACACACCGCTTGTACATATATATGTGGGAAGGATTCTCATGGGTTGTTTTTTACGAAAAAATTTTCTGAAGCATTTTTTTTAATGCACTTTGTAGTGGGAAATTTCACTTGTGTTTTTTGTAGGGTGATGTGGGAAACAACAACATTGACAGTGACGAGAGATCTCAGATGCGTATCGTAATCTATAAATGTGTCGAGATTGAGGCTTAGCTATCATACCCTCACAACATATCTAGTCACAAATATCATAGTGGACTAAATGCGCCAATACAAATGACCTTCTACGGCTTTCCTACTTACTTGTGCGCACCCATTGCGAACAAAGTTACACATTCACATGAGAGCAGGATGTCATAAGCGAGTGGGCCCGAGAAGGCCTACTCAAACCATCGTGTCATCATCTCATTAATGTGATTAAGTATAATAAGCCACTGGTTCATGACCAATGTCAATAACTAATTCCAATCATCTTAATGTGTGAGTTCTCAAAGATAAGTTTAAAAGGTTTAGGCCAACTAGGTAATGACTCAGGAACTAATTTATTTTTTAGATCATAAAAATTGTCATGGAGATATCAACTGCGCCTAAGTCGCAAATTTAACTAGTAAGTGCTAATCCCCTGCACCTTCAAGTCAATTTTATTCTCCATACACTTTAATACATCTAGTTGAAAGATGACGATACTCCTCTTGCCATATCTATTTCTCGCTTCATAGTTACTTGCAATTAATTCTACTATCCACAGAAGGAGAGAATAAGCTATCAACTATGATAGCTCCTGAAGTAACTTAAGCGCGATTAGGCTAAATAGTCTAATTCAACACAATGCTCTTGTTCTCACGAGCCATGCGTCAAATTCTTAGAGTCATAACAACCTTGTCAGCCTTGACCTTTTCATTACTATGCTGCAACGTTTGCGCTTAGTGGTAAATGTTATTCAAAAACGTTAGCCTAGTAAAGGAATCACACAAAGAAGCACCTCATCCATGTCTCACACTTAAGTGTGGAAACAAAGTGTCCAGACTTAGACAAGTTAGCAATGCTAATAGATTTTGCAGGCCACTTGGCGCTAATCTTTCACTTAGTGTTTAATAGATTTTGCTGCTACTAAGTGCTAATCTTTTAATTTCAAGTGATACTTCAACGCACACTATTATAGTGCATGAAATTTTGCTCCATCCAACTCCCAATAATTGGGTAGAGAGCAAAACACTGCTCATACTGGCTACTCGTCTTACACTTAATGACTAATTTATTTAAGCTCGCATTTCTAGGATGACGTGACTCTTGAATGTTACTTTATCCAATGATGTAACATTATTTACAAATCAAAATTACAAAGTCAATTCTGCGCAACTCATTAGTCAAGATCATATATTGATCTAATTGAGGGCTACTAATTTCATAACTTCAAAACTCGCCAACCAAAACTATGTAGCGTGCCGCTAACTATAGCGCCACACATTAATTTTATTGTGCCAAACAGGCAACAAAACCACGGCGACTTTGAGTCATGTTTCCTTACTTTGCTCAATTAGGTTTGACCTAAAGTCTCCAAGGACTTTTGCTCTCTAAAGAATGGGATTAGTTTGTTCACATTTGAACATCTCTACTAGTTTAGGTCAAACACAATTAACTTCCATAAGCTAAATCAATTTAGAGAGAAATTCGCATTGGGATTTAATTTGATTAGCATAATATAATTTTGCCGCAAAAATCTAAATTAAATAGTGACAATATTACACAAGTCGCAAGATCGAAAATCCGCTATGCTCGTAATCATCTCTTGCGCCATAAGTGACAATTATACCAAAATTTAGTTTAATTTATGCGCAAAATATTGGTTTTCCGGAGTTAAAATCTACAAAGATTTCTCTCAACCGAATAACCTCCCACTGACTATGGCATATACAAAGCATGATAAATTCGCATACAATAGCATTTTAATGTAAATCTACAAATAACTCATGCTATATTTATTTAATAATGGAATTCTAATAAATAATAAATAATCATGCTCTTTTCTAATTACAACATATTACAAACTCTAAAAAAAAATATGTTGTATTAAATATTTAAATTATGCCATAACAGAAGTACATCATCCTGCTGAAATTTTCTGGAATTTTCTGGTATTTCCTGGAATTTTCTGGAATTTTAAATAACTAATAAACACACATAAAATCAGAAATAAATATTCTAGAATCTGATAAAATGCTATAACTATACCAGTAATAGTAAACTATATCAATAGTCTACAATAAAAAATTCAGCCCCAGAAATTTAATCATGCAACACCAGATGCATTTATAAAGCAAAAATAATGCATTATTATTTCAGGAAAAATATTTTTATTTTCATAAAATTTTCAAAATTTTGCAGAATGTAGAAAAATTAATTCTGAGTCTAACGGTACCAACCATGCTTAAAACAAAGCTATAACGAATAAATTATGGCCAATTAACGCAATTCAGAATTAAAAACAAACAAACAGAGCCTAATACGCCAGCAGCCAAGCCAGCCGAGGAAAATGGCGCGGCTCAGCACGCGGCCCAGATCGCGGCTCGGCTTTTGGCTCGGCTCGCGGCTCGGCGCGCGCTCGGCTCGCGGCTCAGCGGCGGCTCGGCTCGCGACTCAGCCCGCGCTCAGAGCACGGCGCCGCGTGCGTGGCGCGGAGGGCGCGCGCGTGGCTGCGCGCTGACGCGCGCGTGAGAGCGCGTGCAAGCGCGTCGGTTGAGCAGCTGGCGCGTGGGGGCGCGTGGAAACGGCCCACGGCGTCAGGTGGCGCGTACAGACCACGCGCCACCTTCCAGGGTGTTTTCTGGTCCGATTTTTGTGCTGCGGGACTCTCTTTTTTCAAAATAAAACTATTTATGATATGAAAAAAGACATTAATGAACATAAAAAAATTATTTTTATGCTCCTAATCTGATAAAAAAAAATTTTTCTTCTACAAATATTCATGTGTATAATGTATACATATACATATAAAAGTATACCATGATTAAAGGAAACACGAAAATATCCATCAATGGCTCTGATACCAA